ACCTTAGTCCTCAAGCTGACATCTCTGCTCTTCAATACTTTAAAAAGTTTCTAGGAAAATTGGAAGTTGTGAAAAATGAAATGGAATGCATAAAGATCAATATCTGAGGCATTAGTGAGTTGAAGTAGATTGGCATTAGCCATTATGAATTAGACAATCACATGGCATACTATGTCAAGAAAGACAAATTGAAAAGGAACCATGCTGCATTCATAGTCAAAAAACATTTCAAGATCTATCTTGAAGTACATTACTATCTGTGATAGGAAAATATCCATATGTCTACAAGGAGGAGTAGTTAATACCACTATTATTCAAATTTATGCTGTTATCACTAAAGCCAATTTCAATAAAACTAAAGAATTCTACCAACTTCTTCTGTCTGAAATTTATCAGACATGCAATCAAGATGCATTGATAATTAATGCTGATTGGAATGAGAAGGTTGGCAACAAAGAGGAAGGAACAGTAGTTGGGAAATATGTCTTGGTGATATATCTGGGAGAATGTAGTATCAGAATTGGAGAAAGACTTACTAACAACTGCATTATGAAGTTAATACAATCTCGCTTGCTTAAAGTAAAGAGGACTTAAAATACTTACTGATAAAGACCAAAGACTACATACAGCCTTCAGTATGGGCTGCACCTCAGTGAAAATAAATATCCTCAAAACTGAACCAATAAATATCATCATGATAAATGGAGAAAAGATTGAAGTTGTCAGAGACTTCATTTTGCTTGGATCTACAATCAACACACATGGACACAGCAGTTAAGATATTGCAGCAGGCAAATCTGCTGCAAATGACCTCTATAAAGTATTCAAGAGCAAAGATGTCAATTTGAGAAGGCACATTTGACACAAGTCTTGGTATTTGCAATCACCTCATATGTATGTGAAAGTTGAACAATGAATAAGGAAGATCACAGAAGAATCAATGCATTTGAAATATGATGTTGGAGAAGAATATTCAAAATATTGTGGACTGTCAGAAGAACAAACTAATCTGTCTTGTAAGAAGTACAGCCAGAATGTTCCTTAGAATCCAGGATGGCCAGACTCTGTTTCTCATACTTGAACAATGTTATCTGGAGGGACCAGTCCCTAGA